GCAAGTGCTTTAGATGTATTGGTTGAATAAGTAAAATAAATTAAATTTCAAACTTTAAAGGCCTCTTATTACACATAGGATATAGCACTTCTGTTTGCATTTTGAATGCTACCTGGTCTTTTTGTTTGTAGTATTTTTAGCCACCTTTTCATTTGAAAAATATTGTCCTAAATTCCGATTAAACATAGAGATTGTGCCACTTTCTAATTCAATAAGATGGGCCCCAAAGCAAATGTAAAATGCTAAGCAAAAGCAAACTGCACACTAGTATTGCTTTTGTCCACATGAAAAGCATCCTGTTACATTGTTCAGTACAAAATCTAGAGAATGCTTGTCACCACCCATGGTTTAGGTGACAGCAACTTCAGTCTACAGAGAGAGCCCACCAAGCAGCACATAAAGAGAACATGGCTTCTTCACATCTCCCTTCACTGCAACAAAGAATCAGATCTAATGAATGACTGGCCTTTGTCCTGACTTTACCAACACGACTCCCTCTTAATAACATAAATGTGGACATACTTTTATATGGATTTTAAATTTGTAAAGTCTGTTCACTTAGCACAAAGCATCATTTCAATGAAAGGTTTCAATCTCTTCTCAGAAGTAATTATGAAGAAATGTAAGAAAATATTTTTCTTTTTTTACATAGAAACTATTAAGATTTTTTAAAATTGATTTTTGCTGAGAATGAACATAAACTTTTATTTTAACACTAAAAGTGAAGGTTACCTTTCATCAAAATATAAGGATTATTTAGCTGACTCCAAGAAGAAGAATACAACTATGATCATAATGGTAGAATTTTTGAGAAAGAAAAACATATGAAGACCAGAAAAGAGAGCAGGAGAGAAACGTCTGCAATGGCTTGGTTGCTAAGAACATTTTTACACTCAAGCCAACATTAAGTGCACTCTTCCTAATGAATAAACCATATGTCTATTTTTTTTAATTTATTACCTCTTTTGAGATGGAGTCTCACTCTGTCACCCAGGCTGGAGTACAGTAGTGCAATCTTAGCTCACTGCAACCTCTACCTCCTGAGTTCAAGAGATTCTCCTGCTTCAGCCTCCCAAGTAGCTGGGACTAATGGTGTGTGCCACCACGCCCAGCTGATTTTTTCATTTTTAGTATAGATGGAGATTCACTATGTTGGCCAGGCTGGTCTCGAACTCCTGATCTCAGGTGATCCACCTGCCTCGACCTTCCAAAGTGCTAGGATTACAGGCATGAGCTACCGCCCAGCCCATATCCATTTTTATACACTTCCTTTCACTAAATCCTGCTACTTCATAATATTCCCTTTGTCCCATGCCATGCCTCGTCATCCTCCACCTCCAGCTCAGTACTCCCAACTATAACTTTCCTTCCTTGGGTAAACCATGTTTGTGCCCTAGCTACCAACTTGAACATCTGCTACCTTAAAAAATAATAAATAAAAAAAATTACCTTATTGCCTAATATCCTCCAGGACAAAAATTTTGAAGGATTCAGCATTCTCAAAATACTGCCACAGAAGGGAAAAAAAATGCATGTCTTTTTCGGCTCAGTAAATTCTATCTATATAAAGATTAAATGAATAATACCTTAAAAATTCCTCAATGCAAACAAATCCATGTTACCAGTATGTATTTTCTTCCTTTATGCATTTAAGAGGGAGACAAACACGTTTTATTTTACTTCATTTCTTCACTATATCTCCTTTGCAACACATTACCACATAGAAGAGATATAGCATATATCTGCAACTCTAGAGAACAAAATGCAAATATTCCTCTTCTTCCTCTGGATTGGTATTCTTATCTCCCTTTTTTTCCTGTCCCAAAACACCTCCCCAACTGAAAGATAAGAAATATTTTGACTGAATTAAAGTGAGTCCTGTGTTAAAATAGCTTGCCTGAATCCAACCAGAGCCCATTTAAAAAAAATCTTCATTTCCCCATTTGGTCAGCAGCTCTCCCAACTCCAGTCTTTATTATCAGCAGCCTCTTTCCAACCTGAATTCCCATCTCCATATACCTTTGCCCTTGAGCTTTTACCATCCATTTCCTTTATATGTTTGCACTTAATTTGATTCCGTTCTTCATGCTTTTTTCATTATTCTTAGTTCACCTGCACCACATAAATTAACACCTTTGTTTTCAGTTCCCCATGTGCTCCAATTCACATCAATTGCAAATAAATACTTCTGATTCTCATCCATTTCATCCAAATTAATTCATATTCCTTCTCCACATCCTCCATCCCTGTCTCTACCTCCCCTTTTATCTGTTTCTCTTTCTTATAGCACCTCCCTTCTCTTCCATGCATGTCTCTGAGGAAGGTTTTATAGGTAAAATGCTTCTGCAATGCAAGGTGTTGTGGGAGGAAAGCCATGATCTTTCCGCCTGATTGCCAACTTCCATGGGCTAATGCTTGCATGTCTAGTTTATCCTCCACAACCTGTGTTCACAGGTGTCATCACCCCATATCCCATTAATCAAACACTGGGAATGAGAGGGAAAAAGCTTCTTGCTGTTTTGAGGTATTTAACTTTGGCTAACTGGTTTGTTTGTAGTTTACAAGGCTTTTTTCACTTGGTCATCACTAATTAACATCAGCAACAATAGTAATAACTACAATCAAGGCCAGTACTATCTATAATGAGTTCTTACTATCTAACAGGTATTTTTTTAGAAGTATTTTACAGGTATCTGCTCATTTAATGTTCAAAACAATCTAGGAGGTAGACATAATTGTGTCTATTTTACAAATAAGGAAACTGAGGTCATAAATCTAGGAAATGATAGTGCTAGGACACAAACCAAAGTCCACCTGATCACAAAGTTCAGCTCTGAACTGCTGTGCAATACTGCATTTCTAACAATGCATGGTGCCTCGCTGAGTGAATTCCCTGTAGGGGAAATGCACTTTAGTGCAACATAAGGCAAGCAGTTACAGGTGCCAGGTAACATAATGAGCTCCACCTTGGTAATCACTCTGAGTAGACAACGCTCAAAAAAACAAAGCACCAAATAATGCATCAATGGTAACAGTCACCCTTCTGACATCTCTGTTGGGAAGGGGATAAGAAAGAAGAAGAAAATGCTCTGGCCTCCCTAAAAAGAATCTCTGCTTTCCCAGAGCTGTCCAGCTCCATGCTAAGTAGGATGTGCCTTTAGTGTCAATAGTTCAGAAAGTGTCCATAATTATGAATTCCATAGCCCCAGTACAACACAACATTCTTGCCCTTTCCTGCCTTCTCTGGTTTCCTGGAGGGGCCAGGAGATGAGTCATGCACTCCAGCCTGGGAGCACTGCAATGTCTTTCCAATGTCTCACCATTACTTTACTCATTGACTTTAGAAAGAAAGAAACACAAATAAAAACTACCTTCAGGACAATATCAAAGAAGCAAAAACGGATAATAGCATGAAGCATTAGCCTTGGTGAATGTGGGGTGGTGAACTGGAACCTAAATTCTGATGGGAACCCATGAGTGAGACTCTATGCCTAAGCCACAGGATACATTAGATTAGGAGACTGTCCCACGAACCAAGCAAGTGTCACAAGGGAAACTGAGTTCAGAATTAGAGGAATACAGGCCCAAGTCCTGGCATGCAAGGAAGTAATGTCAGTCCTCAGCCTTCCATCGGAATAACTCTGAGGTTCAAAACAGTGATTTCCTCTATCACATATGCATTTGAACTTCGGGAAAGTTCTTCTCTACTGTACAAAAACAGTTCATGGACCTCCAGAACCTTAGAGTTGAAAGGGGCCTTAAAAGCCAGATTGTTCAACAGATGTGAAAAATGAGGCCTGGTGAGGTAAAGGAACAGGCTCAAGGCCACACAGCTGATTAGTGGCCGAGTTAGAACTAAAGCCCAGGCTGTTCTAATTTTCTAGCCAACAATCTCTCCCCTGCACACTTTTTTGGTGGCACTGCCCACAAAGCCCCACAGAGCACTAAACACTTTTCCTAGCTCATACGCTATCACCCACTTTTCAATGCTTTTATACCTCCATTTACACCTTTGGGGATGCTCCCTATTCAGCTAGCAGTGTGCAAACAGTATGCAAGAACCACACAGGTAACATACTGTTAGAGATTCAGTTAAAAACCACCAATCACAGTAATTGCTACTAGCATCCTCGTAGCCCAGGAAGCGACACCACCCCTAAGCTATAATGTCAAAGCAGAGAACAAAGACCAATTCCAAGAAAAATAAGTCTCACTCTTTTCTGTGTAAACCCCACTCTTCCAAATTATCCCATTGCTCAAAAGATCAGTATGACTGGAGCTTAGAGGTGGTGTCTCTTCCTGGGCTACGAGGAGGCCCTGAGTAAAATACACAATCCTCATCCCTCCCCGACCCGCTCTTACCACACACATAGTAATGTAATCACTTTAGCAACTTCTCAGTAACAAGCTCATTAAAAAGCAATTCTGCCATCTCTCCGTAAAGCACGCGCCAGAGAACAATGCAAAAGAGGAGATGCCAATTAATTATAGAATGATCACATCTAATGAACTCTGAAACTCTCCTGCTGTTGGTGACTTTGATGAAAAATCAGGATGCTGGGAAAAGAGTGAATAGGGACACCCTAGATACCTTGTTTAACTGTGAATGCTTTCAAATGCATCCTCAGATCCCAGTGTTGATCAAAACTGTGGAGCTACACTTGCTAAACAATGCAAAGTGTCAGGAAAGCAACAAGTGTCTATGTCACAGGCAGCTGGGAGTCACTGCTAGAGCCCCCTTCAGCCATCCTCAGAACTGTGTGATTCTATGCTGTGGCTGGCACTGTAGGGACAAACCTGTATCCTATGCTTGGGACATCTTGAGATCTTAAGGTAACAAGTGAGTCATTCTTTGTCCCTACCTGGGCCCTCCCACCTGTCTATCACTTCCTCATCAGCAGGGGTGCCACTCCTCAGAACAAAGAGGAGCCCTCCCACATGAAGAGGCTACAGGAGGGGAAAGGAGAAGAAACCACGTGCGGCCAAACTTGTACCACTACCTGTGTGAGTCCTCTGGTGGGCCTTTAAGTGGGAGCTTTTTGTATAAACTTTCCGGCACCCGTTAAACTGACAGCGGTGAACTCTCTTCTTGTTTTCAGGACACGCTTCAGCCCCTAGCCCTCCTTGGTCACTGTCGCTCTGTCCACTCTTAACGGCCCCCGCAGCCGTCACGGCTGCTGCAGCTGTTGCGACCCCTCCCACCTTTACAGAGCTGAGAGCAGCCTTCTTGGCCACCAGTTTCAACGTCACTGTGCCATCCACGGCAGAGAGAGTTTGTGAGGTTTTGACCAGATGGCGGCTGAGCTCAGGGGATGATGGGGGCGTTAATGAGGTCACTGCGTTGAGCTGGGCCTGGTTGACGGCTGTGTAGTTGTCTAGAGAAGAGCTGGCCGGCTGGAGGCTGAGGCAGGTCTCAGATAGCAACTTGTCCCGAGAGAGCAAGATGTCCACTGCCGAGCTCTTCTCACAGATGGCGGCTTCCACAGGGAGCAGCAGGGGGTCTAAGCGACGGAAGCTTTCCTCAATGCACGGGGGAGGAGAAGCGTGGAGGAAACAGTCCAAGTCCTCACCAAAGGTCTCCGAGATCCTCCTGGGCTCCGTTTGTAGGTAGCGTTCCAATTCAAGGCATGTCTGCAAGAGGAAGAAGGAGGGAGAGAAACAACCATCAGAGGCACAGAACACCATGAGGCCTCATGTTGACAGGCAGAGGGGGAAGGTGCAGAGAGAATGGTTTCATGGCTTGTATCAGAAATGCTCTAGGACAAGATCTGACCTTGTTACTTATTCTCTGAATACCTCTGAAGGGTTCATAAGGGTCACATCACATGATTTCAACTACTCTAGCTGAAGGAGAACTAAGGCCCCAGAAGGACTATCTCATACCTTCAAGATTTCAGAGAACATCAAATGATGATCTCCTGCCCCTCAATCCAGTTCAGCAGGTAAGATGCTCCAATCTCCCTGCTAGAAATTTTAATGTAAGCAAGAAGCAAATAGAAACTGACAAGGTTTTCATACTAAGACAAGACTTCCCATAGTCCAACTTCATTATTCAAAATAGACTTGAGTATATTACACAAGTAAGTCAGTTTTCCCACTTGCTCTGAAGAACAAATCACGTTCACTCAAGCTAAGAGGTGACCTCAGTAACAGTCAAACAACAGTAAGTCCTGCCGTGGGGATGGATTTCATAACAAGCAGGAAAGAATATTGTTCTAAAGAATGTCTACCATAAAACTTTTGAGGCACAAGACAAAACCCTTGTTGTTTACAGCAAGTCATTTAAAATACAATGCTGTATACTTTGTGGCAAGGGGCATAAATCCTATTTCAATGGTTTAGCATCTCTGACTACATGATAAAAATAAATTCAAACACAGCTATTTAGACCACTTAAAAATAGGACCCAATATATTTCCACATAAAGTTTTCACTTGGTAAAGAAATAAGGGAGAACAAACAAGTTTATTCTTGGGATAAACTTTCTGGGTAAAGAAATAAGGGAGAACAAACAAAGAAGATTTGTCAACAAATCTTCATCCATGGCACTCATAAGTCTTTGTAAGATGATGGAGTGATTTTATGGCAAAAGTAGACATTTAAGAAGTTTGTATTCTAAAGCTCTCCTCACTTAAAAACACTACAATTCCAAAATCTTGTATAAAACTATGTTGCTAACTTGCACTATCAGCTCAATTTGCTCTATCTTCTGGATTCAACAAAGAACCACTGATGGCAAATTTAAAATGTGACTAGCTCCAAATTTACTACCCCCGTAAAGCTCCTATGGTTTCAACCAATGTTCTGATTCTAGGCGTTTATTCTATTAAGAATATATTTTAATGATATACCTAGTAGTGTTGTATCCGTTGAGAATTTTATTTTGGTGACATTTCAAAAGACTGGTTCTTAATCACACTTCTGATAAAACTCTGCATTACTGAATAAGAAAATCAGATTTTTAACTATGAATCAGCTTTGGGTCTCACTGCTGATTTTCAATGGTAAGAACTAGTGAATGGTTCCAGTCTCCATTCAACACTCATGCCACAAGTGTTCATTCAACTACTGTGCTCACAGCAAGGTATATGAGGCTTTGTGTGCAGGAGAAGGAGAAGATATAGAAATAGATCCATGCGAAGCAGGTATAGAATAAACAACTACAAGCTAAAAATTACATAAATTCACAAAGAAATGTGATGCCAAAAAATAATATAAAATGTGTTGATAATTTCTACGGGCTGAGTGGACACTTAATTCTACAGTCTAGAGTAACATAGTATTAATCAAGGGAAGCTTATTGGAAAAGTAAGTTTTGATTCTGCTTTACTTATTGATTAAATCAAAGTTCTGACTCAGTAGCTTCCCACCATTCTATGTTGGAAGCCAGTGATGACCTTCTCAGGTCTAGAAATATGAGTTATCCTCACTTGTTTCTTTCCTAAACTCTACTTCTCAAAAATGTCTTCTTCCTTATTCCTTCTCATTGCTAGAAATTATAACTTACATCTCTCCAATACTGAAGCGCTCAGTCTTGGCTCCATTCAATTCACTTCTGAATTATAAGATTCTAACCGTGAAACCTCCGCTCAGTTTCTTCTTCCCTTTCTAAACAATCACCTACCAAACACAGTGCCTGGCACCTAAGAGGTACATAATGTCTGTCAAAGACAAAATACTATTACTTTGATCATTCTACCTCTTCTACTCTTTAAAAGCCGTATTTGAAACCCTACCCTGTACCATGCTGAGGGGGCAAACTCAGAAATGACCACTAACACATGTCTCTGGGAATACAATTGCAATGCTTCTTGAGCTTTGCCCAAAGAACAGTACCAGATCTTTGAGATACAGATGTGTTTTAGGTAAAAATCAGTAGAAGCCTAGACAACATACCAAGACCTTGTCTCCACAAAAGCTAAAAGAAAATTAGCCAGGCGCAGTGACTTGTGTCTATAGTCCCAGCTACTCAGATGGCTGAGGCAGGAGAATTAAGCCCAGGAATTCAAGGCTGCAGTGAGCTTTGGTCATACCACTGCACTCCAGCCCTCTGGGCAAAAGAGCAAGACCCTGCTTCTGCCAATATATATATATATATCTCAGCTGACTCATGGGGTATCAGATGCCTTTAAGGTAGTTCCCTGCCTCCTATACAAGGTCTTTCACATACTTAGTCACCACTGCCTATGAATAGAGTTTTTGTATGCCATTTCATTACATACTATCCAGCTCAAAGATTAGAAAGTCACTAAGAAATTGTGATTATTAGAAGGCTCAGATATCTTCATATTCAGAGTTCTGAAGGACTGAGATATTCTAAACACATTTATACACTCTTCTGGGAGGGGTAAGTAACTTATCCAGTATGCCCTGGGGTGAACTGCAGGAGCACATGAGTTACATTTTTGATCTAAAGATGGAGAGACATATGATCACAAAAATGTGGAAAAACCTGGACCACTTCAGAGTGGCTATAACTTGCAATCCTAATACAGGGCATTCTTCCTCCTCCTGAGAAGTGAAGCAGCCTAAGTACCCACCAGGATGTGCTGGACAGCCCCGTGAAATCATGAAATAATTGCTGTCTTAGGAAATATACTTCTTATATCCAGTGGAGATGAAGTTTAGGTAGAGGAGAAGATTTTGTCAATTGGAAACCAGGGTGAGGGGGTTAAACACTTTTCTCATCAGGAATATGGAGATCAAAATGTTAAGGATGAGGAAAATTTTAATATTAGATGATTTCCAAGCCAATGAGAACATTTGTTTCAGTTGTAAATGATTATGAGAACTCTCACAAGAAATGCCCAGATAGGCCAGGAGTGGTGGCTCACACCTATAATCCTAGCACTTTGGGAGGCCGAGGCAGGTGGATCACTTGAGGTCAGGAGTTTGAAACAGGCTTGGCCAACAAGATGAAACCCCATCTCTACCAAAAATATAAAAAGTTAGCCAGGCATCGTGGTGTGTACCTGTAATCCCAGCTACTCAGGAGGCTGAGACAGGAGAATTGCTTGAACCCAGGAGGTGAGGGTCGCAGTGAGTCAAGATCGCGCCACTGCACTTCAGCCTGGGCAACAGAGCAAGACTCCCTCTCAAAAGAAAAGAAAAAAAATGCCTGTGGATGTTTAATGGGAATTGAAGTATTAGTATTTCCTCATGGATTTTAATATGTACGCACATACACAATATATAGAAACAAATGTGTATATGCATGTGTAAGTATACATATATATATTTCATAACTCTACCCACTGAAAGAGGTAACAGACAAAGATAACCCCAATAGTAATGAGCACACTTAGCCCAGGGATCTTGGTTTCTAAATATCATTATCCAATAAAGGGAACCGGGATTCCCTAGACAAATAGTTGTTTGAAGGGCTGGAACAATGAAAACAAAAGTTGAGCCTAGATAACATTGTGGTACCAAAAGATAAGGAAGTGCTCATAGAGTGATAAAGGAATGTCAGAAAAACTCAGAAGCCAACTTAAAGGAACTCTCAATGGCCAAATAAATAATAGGTTATAATTCATAAAATAAATATCCATGAAACCATATTGATATAAATGATTGAATAAATTAGAAGATGGAAGGAAACGGTCAGCTCCTCATTACAGTAAAATTATGATTCAAAAACACAGAAGGAATGATGAAAACAGAAAATCATCATTAGGTAAACAGCAAAGTAATAATGATTACAAGCAAGAGCTACCAATGGATGCTAAAATGAGTAGACAGATGTATGATGAGAAACAAGGTACCTGCCTAGTCTCAAAGTATTCACGCAGCAAGATATTTATTTGTTAATTACAAAGACAAAAATAATAACTTTACAGGGGAGAAACCTGGAAGAAACTACCTTGGCCATATAATCAAAGTTAGCAGCATCAGGAACAAGTAATACTGATCACATGTACCCCTGATAGGACAATGCTGACAATGGTAAAATATTACTCTTATGATATTCCTGTCAAAAATGGATAACCTCAATCTAATCATGAGAAAACAGACAAATTTAAATTGAGGACTATTCCACAAAAGAAATAGCCAGTTATTCTTTAAGTGTTGGGCCACAAAGAACAAAGGAAAGAATAAGACACTGTCACAGGCTGGAGGAGAATAAGGAGATATGACAACTAAATGCAATGGATCCTGGCCTAGATCCCAAACCAGTAAAATGACTGGTGGAAAAAATAATGTTAATTGAAAGGAAATGTATAGATTAGCTAATGGTATATTATCAATGATAATTTCCTGGTTCTGATAATTGAACTATGGTTGCATAACATTAGGGGAAGCTGGACAAACCATATTTGGTAACTCTATGTACTATTTTTTCACCTTTTCTCTAAGTCTAATCTAATTTCAAAAAACAGAAGACCCATCAATAGACTAAATTTATAGTAAATTTAGACATAGAGTTCAAATGTTTTTCCACCAGAACCAGAGATTTACTCTGTTCGAATGATACTCTCTTGCCAGCAAACTCCAAATCTGAGTCAGCAGATGTCAGTTTAATGACATAAATTATGCCTGTCACCTTGGAGGTACAAGGCTTCCCTCAGCTTGACCTAACCATACAACTTAAGGCTTGAGCCACTGGATCAACACCCAGCCCCTAAAAACTC